GGTAAGTACTTTATTTCTTGTTTTTCATGTTTATTCTTTATTTATGATTATAAAAGTAACTAAAATGTAAAAATAGGGATCTCTTTAGGTTAGTTACGGTTAGATTAGATAAAATAAATGTTTCATGAGGCACACACATGAGCAGCTCGTGGGTAAAGTAATTTGATAGTGTTATATGAGCTGCATGTTCCCTAAGCAATTTACAACTTATAATAGTGTGAATAGTAGTTAGACATGGTTCGAAGGGCAATAAAACAAATAAAATTTAATTATAAATAGATGTATATTGTTACGAGTTTAAAGCTACTTAGGATAAACGAATGTAGTTTCATATTACTATTTGAAGTCATTCTAGAAAGAAAAAAGGGTAATTTAGATTTATTTCTTTTTTTTTGGTGGTTACAAGGTCAGTCAAATTTACCAACCTTGTATAGAGTTAGTGTAGAAAAGATAATAGATAAAATATAAAGTTTTACAGAAAACAAACATCCAAAATGTATTTACGAGGTTTTAGAAATTACACAAATGAAATTTGGGATTTTTGAGATGAAGAAAAGTATTTTTAATCTTAACATGAAAATTACTTTGCAAACAGACTATTCAAAACAAATCTATTTTTAGGTTATTAAAAATATTTAACTAAAAAATATGATTTTTTGTATGTGAAAGACTTAATGTTTACTGAAAGACTGCCAGCTTTCACGAAGATATACATACTATGTTAAAAGTTAGTAGTATCAAATCTATAAAGACTTTAAATGAGTGCAAAGAGGTCACGTGGTCGGTCAAATTGACCAAACCCATACTGAAAGAGTTAAAATAATATGTTTTGGGTGTTTTTTTCAGTAAATAATTTTAAATCTACTAAGTATGTAAAGATTAACATAATTTTACTTAATGTAAAATGAATTTTAAAATATTTTTATAACTACAAAAACAGATTAAAAATCACCCTATGTTGTAATTCATACTTGTCACTTTGGTGTGCTCAAAAATACATTATAAGAAGGTGGAGTGAAATTAACTCACCTTGCTCCACATTCATAAGGAATTTCTTCAGTCTCAGCAAGAAGATCACCATCAGTCTCCTGTTCACCTCCCTCAGTTCCAATATCAAACAGCTAGAAAGCATAGTGAAAAATAATCTTAAAGGATGTGGGTATAGGTAAAATAATCCATGACCAAACAAATAATAAATACTATTATTATTCAGAAGGAATCCAGAGGTCTTATACTGTAATAATACCACAGTTATAAAATGAAATGGAGTTCTTCCAGATATCCATTCCAAATGCTTGGAACATATTCTGTAAATGTTAATCAGAAATGTGTGTTACAAACACACACAAATTGTTAAACAACATCCAGGGTATACACACACACAAGTCGCCCCTTTGCTTACAATTCATTTCATACAAAAATTATATTTATTTCATTACTGCTTCTGGTTATTTAAAATGTTTTTAATACTCAGCTCAGACTGCATATCATTGGAAAGGATGGTATATGATGTATGTAATTTTTATTACAGAATAATAAAAATCATAATGGATCATAACTTACTTTCTTAATTAAAATACACATACCAAAATCTTTGAAAAGCATGAGGTCCAGAATGCATTTTAAAACTTAAATTCAATAAGTACCTTTTAATCTAATAGATATAAGCTTATCTTGCTAATGTTCAAGTGTATATTATATGTGAATTTTCAATTTGCAAAAAACTGTTTAAGGTATTTCCCAGTGTATAAGACAAGATCCCATGTATAAGACAACCCTCGATTTTTTGAGCAAATTAAGTGTATTTCTTTGAGGTTCAGTGTATAGGATGACATCTATTGTCAAGCAAGTCTAGGATGTTACTTTTGTAAATAAATTCTTAGAAGTTACTTTTAAACTATGCTAACCTGTGCTCTGGGGTAAAAAAAGTGTGTTTTTTTATGCTCTTCAAATGCTACAGACATCTCCACGTGTCATAACTTAAGTCACAAACATGTAATAAAGAACTTTACAAAGTTTTCATAACAATTGAACTCATTTTCTATTACAAAAAATACTAAACCTTAAGATACAGTGATCTATTATAAAAATATGTTTACAAAATTAGTGTATGTTACAGAAACAAACTTTTTTTTTGATATAATATTAGCAATATTTTAGTATGGCGGATGAGATCAATATATTTCAAATCAAAAATGTCTTGATTAATTATAACTAGCATGTGAGATAAATAACTTTTAGTTATGAAGAATCAAGACAAATGATACAATTACAAATATATTATTGTAATGCAGTAGGTGGCAAGATGTCAATATACTTACTGAAAAAAGCAAACAAATGTAAAATGAACAATGTAGTTTTGATTAAATATGCTATTCACTAGAGAGTTCATATTGGAATCTATTTTTGAACCTTTGTATAAGATGAGGGGTAAAACCAGGCATTGTTTTAAGAGTAAATAAGTATCATCTTATACACTGACAAATACAATAATATGCAACTGGAAAAAATCTAAGAAAGAAAGAAAGAAATATGTAGACACACACAGATTTTGATAAATGTTGTTTTACTTTCCAACAAACCAAAAGGTGGAATGTTATGCAAAGGGTTTTAAGAATAAAAGTAAGTCATAGTATAATAAATAAACTAATATTACCAACAGATTTTGCAATCAGATAATTAATTGTATGCAGGTAATGACTAAAACATAGAATCTACAGGTATTAAACATCAATTTATTACAACAGCCAAAAAAAAATAAAAAAATTACACTTTCTTGCATTTTTGTAACATTATTCAAATAAATAGTCATCACATGACTAAAAGTAACATATATAACCTCAGCTTCATAACTTATTGTATTTGTACTTTTAAATATTAATGTAAATTGTCAGTTTTAGAGAAGAAAAAAAGTACTTTAAGTTTAGCAGTATATTCGCCTCTTCCTCCAAACAGACCAAAACCTCCGAGAAGAATGTCAGTGTCAACCATGAACCTAATGGCTTCAATGGAATGACCAGAATAACCCCAACCTCCACCATGACCTGGAAAAATGAGACAGCATAAAATGTAGTTTTATTACAAACAGTTCTTTCAACAACATTATCATCTGCAGTAATGCTACAAATTAGTAACGTTTCTCACTACGAGTTATGAACTTTTTTTCATGCAAAATCTGTTTCACATTTTCATTTAATATATACATAAATGATAAGTTTAGAATAATATTATTACCATTTCCTAATACAGCAGAATATAAGCATGATCAAACTTTTTTCTTATACTTACAGAATTTTTCAATTATTTTGATTATTTATGGATGTCTACACAATTCAGTGATTTCTTTCTCCAATATATATTTAATGATAAGCTCAAAACATATGGTTTATATCTATGTTTTTAACTAAAGTAAACAGTACATACTTTCAAACCGATTTACGACAGAAAAATCTTCCTTGCTATACATCCTTGACAAATGTTTCTTAGTTTTCTCATCATCCTCCACCTGAAGGTGAAGCTTCTCTGCTGCAGTCAGGGTGTCAAGACATGCTAATATATGTAAGGCTGCATGTGACCGGCTCATTGGGCTAGAAATCTTAGTAGGCAAAGCCAGCTCTGGGCTTAAAACACTAGGCAGAGGATATAGAGAATTTGTGTTTGTGTCCACATCAGATGGGGATGGAGATATAAGAGAACTCGACAGAAGGCGAGCTTCTGCAGCTACCACGCTGTATCGACTCACAAGTTGTGTGCTTGGGTGGTAACTTCAAGAACAGAAATAAGTAAATTTCAACTTAGTTGTGCAGACAAAAAAAAAAAGTTAAATTTCATTACAAAGTGAAATATTCCTATACCACATATGAAAAAATGAAAAATGTTCACTATTTCAAATGTCACCACCTTTAAGCATGTTGACTGCGGTTGCTTCGACAAAAATATAATGCGAAAGTCTTATTTCAATACCAAAAAAACTTAATATTTTTAGAAGTTTAATCATTGAGTATAAGAATTTCAACATCTTCAAGACATGAATACTCATCATTTGGTAATGGTTGGAGAAAATAAATGCAATAAAATAAGCCAAACTGACAAATGCAAAGAACAGGAATGAACATGTACCTATCACACAAGATATTTTATTTTCTATACACAGTAAAGCAGTAATTTATGACATTAATAACTTGAAATCAATAACTCTAAATTATTCAATCATCAGTAACTGAAAAATCATAGAAATTAACATTTTCCTTACATAAAAATGTATTTCTGATAGATACTCACCTACTCAGTACACCTCCCGAAGAGATTTGTATGCTACTTTCACGTGAATTTATGTAAATTGTACTACTGCATGATGAAGTCATCATGTGACAAAAGCCATCCACCAATAGGAGGGTGACATGTGTCCATGCATACTAACTTCCACTATGCATTTGCACTCATGACTTTCTTTGATGAGGCAAGTAAGAAAATATGTACCAGAAGTGGGTGAGAGGGAATGTGTGGAATTATCTATTTGAAATACATTTTATGGTAAGGAAGATGTTAACTTCTAACACAATAACTTACCTCCACACCTAGATTAACTAGAATATGGTTGAGGTGCCAATGCAATATTCAAAAACAAAATTTGCAAAATATTCATGTATGCAAAATGAACTTCACCTAAGAAATAAGGCTGCCCAAGGGAAAGTGAACAAAGGAAACATATAATAATAAAAAGAAAAGAAAAAAGCTAAGTATAAAAGTTATGAAGAGTGAAAGATAACATAAGAAAACAAAGGAGACTAATCCAGCTATAATTTTTCTATATCAGCATAATATCCTTTAGAAAAATATACTAAAATAGCTTTTTTGACTTATGTAAATTTAATTCATAAATTTTACAAACTGTAAGAAATGCAAATCAAGCTTAAAACTTTGAAATCAAAGTCATTCAAATTCAATGTGAAATACATTAAAGTATGAAAATACATCAGTGATCAGTCTAATCAGAAGAAAAGAACACCATGTTTACAAATTAACATGTTGAGAAAAGAACATACCTCCACAAAATGTTGAAAAAACTATCTAAACAAATTGCTTTATTCTGCAAGTCTTCTTGGTCAGGAGAGTTGAAACTAAAGAAAAGGAAACAACCAATAAAAAAATGCACATGCTTGTAGAATGTTAAAATTAATTGTTTCTTGGTCTACTGCATTGTCCAGTGATGTCAATAATGGAAGAAACATCAGATAACAATTAGATATAATGAAAATCAAAATCTAATTATCTATGAACTCAACAATTACAACAATCAAGATCTTTTTGTGAAATTTTCCAAAAAAATTTTAACTTGAAAAATTACTACAACCCAATTTATTTGAAACAGCCAAGTAACTACTTTTGAATTATAAAGAAACTCATCTAATGAAGAACTTCTACAAAATATATTTTTTTTACATACTAGTCGATATCTGATGGAAACAAAAGCACAAAATGTTAATGATTAGAGTATTAACGCTCTGGACATGGACTCGGTCAATTTGACTGACCACATTACCACTTTGTACTCGTTTAAAGTCATTATAGTTTTAATACTACTAACTTTTAATATAGTATGTATATCTTCACAAAATTCGGCAGACTTTCACTAAACATTATAAGTCTTTCACATACAAAAAAACAGATTTTTTAGTGATGTATTCTTAATATAAAGATTTGTCCATGAATATATCAAGTTTTTTCTTGACTACTCTGAGTGCAAAGTGATTTTCATGTTAAGATTAAAAATACTTTTCATTTCTAAAATCTTAACTTTCATTTTTGTAAACTCTAAAACCTCTTCAATACATTTCAAACGTTTGTTTTCAGTTAAACTATATATTTTATCTGCTATTATTTTTACCCTAACTCCAGATAAGGTTGGTCAATTTGATCAACCTCATAAATCACCAAAAAAAAAAACGAAATAAATCTAAATTACCCATTTTTTTCTTTCTAGAATGACTTCAAATTGTAACCTCAAACTACATTCGTTTATCCTAAGTAGCTTTAAACTAGTAACAGTATACATCTATTTATACTTAACTTTTATTGTTTTATTGCCATTTGAACTATGTGTAACTACTATTTGTGGCATTATAAGTTGTAAATCACTTGAGGAGCGTGGAGCTCATGTTATGTTATCGAATTACACTACCCATGAACTACCCAAGCTGCTCATGTGCGTGCATAGTGAAACATCTTTATTATTTATCTTACCTAATCTAACTTTAATACACCAAAATAGATTCCTATTTTTACATTTTAGTTACTTTTATGATAATATTGATAAATAAAGAATACACATGAAAAACAAGAATTAAAGTATTTACCTGGATATTTTTTTGCTGTCGACTGTCAATGACACCTAACCCTTCTTTTTTTTTTTTTTATTATACTAGTGGGTGGTATAGCCCAAAATAATTTTTATTTAATTAAATAATTCACCAAAGAACATAGAATAATAACATGCAAAAAATCAGACAATGTCCCATAACTATCACTATTTTCTGGCTTTCTAACTATGCGACAAGAGCCATGACAAATTCATCTAAGCTGGTAGGTATCTTTCCTGTGGGAATGAAGCTTGTACTAAAAAGAAATTGACAATTCTGTATTCAAAAAACAACACAATATAATAAATCATTTGATAGATGAAAACCTTGGCTTTCTATTGGTTATAAATAATATGTTATTAAATGTAAGAAAGAACTATTAACAAATCCTGAAAGAGAGGATGTGACAGGCGGGTGTTTAACCAAACAAGATTGAAGACTAAAAAAATTATGCTTTGTCTGAGCAATGATGATGTTATAGTGAGTAATTTAAATTTTGTACTTATTGGAGGGGTGGTTAATAAATTAGAGAAGAGGGGATTGCCTAGAGAAAAAACAATTTCCCACTTGGGGAAATACAGGATTTTTTTGAATATTGCCTTCTAAAATTAAGAACTTAAAACATACATACTATTAAAATATGGATTATTAGCTACAATTTTATGCTATACTAATTGGTATAACAAACAAAAAGTAGTTTAATTAAATTTTGAATGTAAATCACTAAAAACCTCATGACATATGCAGTAAAGGATGCCTGTGTAGTGGGTTAAACTGTAAGACACGCTTGAATGAAAACATGCAATAGAATCTTTGAATTACAATAAAGCAGTTTTATTCAGATAGAGAGACAGAGAAATAACTTAGACCAATTGTGGTATATCTATCATTCTAATTTTTTTGTTGCATTATCAATATTAATGTATATTACTTATATATCCAAAACTAACATATCTATCTAAGCCAATACAAACAATATGTTAAACTTATTTTACTTAAACCTGTGTTCACAGGTTGGGTTTAAAGTGCACAAGCCACAACATTTTACAGAGAGCTATTTAACCTACGTTGCCAGAGGAGAGGGAATATCAGATACTGAAAAATAAATTGTACTTATGCATTTCAGAGGCTCTAGAGGTTATGCAAATATAAAATGCAATCTTTATGATGAACAAAAGTATTTTTATTCTTCACATGAGCATCACCTTATACTCTGAGTTATCATAGTCCAAGTCACACTGACATTGTCAATTCCCAGACATATCTTAAACACAAATACCTTTATATCTCATCTGTTTTTTTTTTTGTGTACAACAGACTTGTATATTTGACAAAAATCTTGCCACATTCCATGTAGTAAATTCAGAATTATAAACAATATTCCTTCTCCAACAAGAAGTTGGTCCAATAGAACAAGCCCATGCACATTCAGTTAATGTACAGGAAGGTTTAAGATTGAAGTGTTTTATTAATCAAAACTAACTTAAAATTATTTTTTTGGTATATCACATACCTTCTACAGCTTCCATCTAATTTATTTATCACCAAACACTTAAATGAGCTTCCCCCTTCGTTGACATGTGGAATGATTGCTGTAACAATTATATATTAAAACAGTTTCTATTAAGTATACGGTTAAACAAGGAATTCATAACACATGTACCCTTCACTGTTATAAAAACATCACAATATCATACATTTTACTGAAATATTTCATGAACTGAACTTTCAAAGGTTCTAAAAATGGAAATTCTAGAGAAACAAACTTTATGTGAAAATGCTAATAAGCATAACAGTAAATACAAAACCTATTGAAAAAGATTGTCACACATGAGCTTATAAAAACAGATCATTAACTTCTCATCCCCTCATTCTTCTCTTGTGTTTTATGATTTTATTATATATATATATTTAAAATATAATGGCTAGAGATGGCTTGAATGGGTAATGAAGAAAAACTTTAATATAAGTTTAACATAACAGCAAATGTACAACATTTCGACAAGGTTTTGTCATCATCAGGTGCATCATGGGTACCTGATGATGACAAAACCTTGTCAAAACTTTGTACACTTGCTGTTATGTTAAACTTATATTAAAGTTTTTCTTCATTACCCATTCAAGCCGTCTCCAGCCATTATTAGTCTCAAAGTGGGTTCCTCGTCATCAAATTTGAATATTTAAAATATGTTTTGATGTAATACATTATATACTCATTGAAATTTAATGACATAAAAACATTGTATAGAATAACATGAAAAAATCCTCATAATCTAAATTTTTTAAACTAAAATCTAAACAATGTGTTTTTACAATCTTATTTCTCACCTATACAGTTTTTGTTGGCCACAACGCTGGATTTTGACAGATTATGCGAGTTGATGAGAGATTCATCAATTTTCACAAATGTCTGATCACCTGAGGCTCCAATCCATGTTGCTCGTCTACTATGATTAGCACCAATATTGGGAACAAGCCCTGGAACAGCATGCCAAAGCCCATCTTTTTCTCGTAGTCTGTCTTTTTTGCCATTTTCAGATGATACTATAGGTGGAGTTCTACATAACTGTCCTTTCTAACAAACAAAAATATTCAGAGCTTTCTTACATGGTAACATAAATTACTGAAAAATACGTTTCCAGAACTCAAAATTCAAGAGTTGTCATATTACATATTAAATTTGTTGCATTAATAAACTCATTCTATTACTTATTTCCTCCATAACTAATAACCAGTAGTATGTCAAAGAAATTCATTAAACTATTTTAATCTCTTTTTAGGTCACGATAGCTGAGAATCTTCATGATCCTCAAACAAAGGTGTTAAAATTGTGTGTGATTATATTTATTTAACATTGAAACAAATCTCTAGCTTAGTCCCAGAATTTGAACCAAAATCTTCCAATTATTTAACACTATGAACAACTGGCAAAAATGCAGCTTACACATTATTATTACAAGGCTGTAAACACCAAGTATTTACGATTAAGCGAAAAATAGACTTGTGGGATTTAGTATAACATTTACATACCTAAAATGTGCCAGTAAGTAAACAACCTGACCTTCAAAAACAAGTTCACTGTCCATTTAAAACAAAATTTGAATGAAGTGGGTAAGTTAATAAATAACATCATTTAATATTAATTTCTAATTTAATTATTTAGATATAACTACTCAGCTACTTTCAGAAAATGTTTACATTTAAAAACCATGTACATAGTATTTGCTTCAAAATATTATGATCAGTCTAAAGTTTCTCCCTTTTCAATGGAAATTAAACTTTTGAGTTAAGAGAAATTAAATAAAATGTATTTTTAATGGCTATTTTTATATTTCACATTTTTTTCTACTTGATTTATTGTACTTCAATAAAAATGTACAACAAAAAAATGCTTCAAATGATATTACTGTTTAAATAATTTAATTTGAACATCCATCTTTACAACTGATTTCTTACTAAAACTACAATACGTGCTTTAACTACTGAGCACATACCATGGCAGAATTGTACATTAACGTTCATACAAATTCTTGCTTCACATGATTGTTTTTATTTCAACTACAAATTAAGTAGAAACGTAGGTAGCATCTATTCATAAAACTGATTGAATTCAATTTACATTCAACATCCTGTATACAGAAAAATACACTGAAGTAACAGCTTATACTTGGCCTTTCCACTTCAATGTTCTTTGTTTATTTTTTAACCCTTGCTTACTATTGGAGTGTACTTCATATGTCCACTATTTCTATTCTCCATATGAGTGTAATTTGATCAGAAATTTTTACATTGAAATTAATAATCAATGGTTTGTAGGGTTTTTCTTCAATAAATCAATTATATATAAATATATTTCTTCAAATTTCCCAGTTTTCCCTGATACCTAGGATTATAAAGATGTCAGATTGCAAATAGGTCAATGATTGTCTTCTCCCATAAAACATTAAAATGCACAAATATCCAAGTAAAAAACTTTATAAAGTAATAAATGTTTTCAAAAACAGGATATTCAATCCAACACACAAATATGAAAAAACTACTGATATTAGCTCATTCCTGTAAACTTCACATTAGATGTTAAATGAAAAAAAAAAGTTTATATTAAAAGAAATTTTCTCTTTAATAGGACTATCTCTCACTGAATACCTGGTAACTGCCAAATGTGTAGACATGACCCTGAGAAGTCAGTAACACAGTATGGTTACTTCCTGCTGCAACACTTGTTATTTTCACATCACCATGTAGTTTAACTATACAAGGTGTTCCTCTGCACAGATAAATTTTTTCATCATTAATCACATTTTTACATTACATTTAAAATAACTACAGTTTATCACTGTTGCCATATCAGCCACACTTTTAAAACCATTTTTAAAAATATTCTCATTAAAAAACTTTACCCAAGCATTTGTCAAAAAAGCAATATGTCTCCTCAATGTTACATTTTTCACAAATTATGGCTATCAAAATTAAATGTCCTTTGGTGCCACTCAATTATTAGATAAACTCAGCAAAATATTCTTTATATTATTATTATTATGTTTGTTTGTTGTTAAGCACAAAGCTACACAATGAGTAATCTGTGCTGTGCCCACCATGTGTATCAAAACTTGGTTTTATGAGCCTTGAAATTGACCACTGAACCACTGAAGGGCTCTTTTTATTACATAATCATTATGTTAGGAATCTATTACCCAGAAAAACTATTTATCATTAAGCAATTCACTACACTTTTACTGGTAAATATACCAAAACTAAAACAAGTATCTTAAAATATAAAAGGTTTATGTAGTAATAATTGTTTTTTTTCCCCTTTAGATAAGTTGTTTTAAATACTGAAATCATTTAAAACTGAATATTTGTTGGTGATATCATGATTTAAATCTTTATGTTAGTTCCAAAAACAACCAAGCAGACAGTAATAAGCACAAACCACCAATTTTAATACAAAACTTCTCAAAGATGATAAACTTAGACATATGATCTGTCTTACCTAATGTTGAAATCTCCTACCCCTAACTGACCATGTTGGTTACTGCCAAATGTGTACATATCACCATTTTGTGTCAACAAAACTGTAAGGTTACAAATCACAAAATGTGTTACAAGTTAAACCACTAGATATAAAGATACAAACTATAATCTGCATAAGAGAAAAAAAAAACTTTTTAATTTAACTATATTTGAATAATATAGGTTTTTTTTAACAAATAAAAATATATCAGGCAGGTGATAGCACTGCCTGTCTAGGAATGACTTGGATTGTTCATGAAAATGGGATTTTAAATATCTCCTTACTAGGTCAGTACAGTTGGAACCTCATTGTATGTAGAACTTAGTTATAAATACAACCTTCTTATGTCTATTGAAACACTGCATTAAAAAAAAACAAGTAAAGAAAAACCTTTCAAAAAGGGAAGTAAATGTAGAGATTGCTAATATCTATCCTTCAAAAACAATGCAAACAAGATAGTTGGGATGGCATTTGCATCATCCCTACATAATAGCACAGGCAAGAATTAAAACCCACCATCATGCCTCAACTTGATCAAAAAATATGGCCTAGCTAACTAAGCAACAAATATTTGCTGTGAAATTCTTATCAATACTATAAGTGTAGCTACAAGTTTGGTCACCAATTTTGATTTCATTCCTTTAATTCGTGCACTCAATCCTATTTTGGCTGCACCTTTTTTTCACACCTGAGGTGTTTTTGATTGTGTGTGTGTATATACATATAACTATACAATCACAACTGATTTTGGCTGCACCTTTTTTTCACACCTGAGGTGTTTTTGATTGTGTGTGTGTATATACATATAACTATACAATCACAACTGAGTTTAATTTATCCTATTTTTGTCTGTTAACATTCTACTATATTGTGTGCCTGTGCTATTATGTAGGAATGATGCAAATGCCATCCCTATAACCTTGCTTACAGTTTTTTGAAGGATTTATATTAGCCATCCCTACATTTACTTCCCTTTTTGAAAAGTTTTTCTTTACTTGTACATACATATAACCACACTTGTAAAAAAAAATATATATATATATATATATATATATATACTATCATAAAACTGTTATTAAGAAAAATGCAGTTCTATTGAATCCATGAGATATCAAAAATTTTAAACTTGTTTATTTTATATTAAAATAAGTGAAAATTTTACATTAGAATTATAATGTGTTTTAATATTTGTTGGCCAATATATAGATTTCATGATACTAAAGCACGTTACTCGTTGTCAATACAAATAGTGTTAAAACTGTTTTTTTTGTTACAATACAATTCTATGTTTGATCTTGTCTGCGAGAGAAAAAAAAAGTTCTAAGCTTGTAAACAAGGAAGTATCTTTCAAAAATTAATTAATTTTATATTTTCTTCTAAATTCTTGTCTGTATCACATCATGTACATTCTATTTTCAAACTTCTTGCTTTAAAGCAAATAACTTAAAAGATAAATGCTTGAATAAAGCCAAAGGAAGCATGTGATCTTTGTGGAATTAGATTGAAAATCCACTTGTCAATTACCAGATCTATATTAAGCAGAGGTAAATTAATATTATAATTAAAACTAAAACACTCTCATATAAAATTTAGATATACTACTGACAATAATTCTGTACCACTAATAAATCAAGTATGCTAATGTAAATTAATCATTATAAAATAGTTTGAAATGAAATAAAAAAGGTCAATAATAATCATAGTACATAAAATAGGATAAACTGATAGTTGAACAGTTTTAATATAAATAGTTTATGTTACACCAACATAAATTCATTAAATCTTGATGCTAGACTAAACAACTACCATTTAAACATTTTATGTGATATCATAACCTTGAAAACTTTAAGAGATTGCTCAACTATTGATTAAATGACTTGCTGTTTGTTTATTTCACTAAATTCTAAAGATGAAAATGTTAAAAATGTTGATTATTTGTTGTTGTTTTTTATTTTGACTCACTGGTTTGGAGAATAACACTCTTCTTTAAGAGCACTAAGCTAACGTAGACTCTTCATAGGTAAATCTCTATTATATAGTTTAGTTACCTCTATAAATAACTATTTTTAATAGACCTGAGTATTAAACTACTCAAAGAAACAGTAATATGGATTTAATGGTAACAAAAATGCAAGTCTGGAATACTGGTTACCTACAGGTTATATGTTTCACAAGGTTTAAAGGTATTTACTGTAACTTAATAAATATCTTAATTGTCACAATATTAAAAACAAACATTGAAAGAAATATCCATTGAATTAATATATTACAAACAACAAAAGCATAAAACAACAGCATACTTTAAATTTTAACCTTGAAAAACTAAATAGAAGCCTGAAATTGAAAATATTTCTTAACAAGTCTTAAACACATCATCACACCTGTATGATGCATGCCACATGCTACTTGCACCACTGAACCTTCACTTGGCAAGTACAATCTTCCTGGAGGGAGAGAAGTCAGCTTTGTTGTTTCCCGTTCATGGTCACTGCCAACAGCATCTTCTACAGAAACAATGCAACAGCATCACTCAAAAGCTGCCATTCATACATAATGCTGAAGTATGAATCACAGAGTAATTACAAATTCACAGAATCTAAAAGTTGTAGCTTTAGGTCATTGAATGTATGTATAGTTAGTAATCTTTACATCCAAACTGTTTATATTTTAAACAGAGAGAACTATATTTAGTATTTACTTTAAAACAGATTAGATCTTTTAAAGAGAGTTTAATCATGAGTTATTCATATTAACTTACTCAGACCAAACATAAATAGGGCAAATATGCTTTAAGGAAAAGCTCTAAATTTAAGGAAGAGGAAAAAAAAGGCAGAGTTCTGTTAAGGCCATTTTCAGATTAGAATATACCAGATTATCAAAAATAAGTTATTCTGCTCATTCTCCAGAATATTGTCACAATTTCTGTAGTGAGAAAAACTGAGGATAAAGCAAGTACAGAGTTTTAAGCACCTAGTCACTGATCAACTGAAGAATGCTGTAATTCAACAGAAATCACCTTCTTCTTTAGCTTCTCCTCAAGCTGTAAGCTTGACCTGACTTTAATAACTTACTTAAAACATAAAGTGTTAACTGCTGAAGAAATAAAAAAAATCATAGTTTACTAATGTTCAAAAGTTTTTATACAACAGTTACTTTGATGAAAATATTTTATATTCCTGTCTTACCTCCGGCAAGAGCAGCAAATTTTTCATTTGATTCCTGTTGTAGAGCAACCCCAAGGCCTGGTTGAACAGATTTCATTGACTTCATTGACTGCAACATCTGTTTTCTTCTTTCTTGTATCCTATATTCTTCTAGCTTTTTGCGAAGACGTTCCCCAATTCTACTGCCTCTTCCTACAAATTTGAGAATTTTTCTAAAATTGAAATACTTTTCAACAGACCTAAAATTCCACATATTTTTTGTATGAAAAGTAAAAAACTACCAGTAATCTCTTTTAAACCTAATAAAATATTTTGAGATACTTATTTTATAATCAACTTTTATTACAGGTACAAGTCCCGAGCTTTGCATTTCAACAGAGATTAACCTTTATTAAATTTATTGGGACATATTTCTGTCTAATCTGTAATGAAGTATTTAAATGTGTGATCTTATTTTACTTTAAATAATATATATACTGACTGATGATGCTGGTGACTGTTACCAGAACTTCTTTTTGAAATAAAATAAAATATCAAAAAGAAATATGAGAAGAAAGCAGACCGAGTTTCAAAATATAGAACAGAGAGTCCATATTTTGGAATCAACAAGTATCACAAAATGAATAATAGAGCACAGTACAATACTTTGTAATTGTACAATATGTAGATATGGAGTTTTGGGAAAAACCACATCAAAGAGAACTTGTAAAGGAACAGGACTAACAGTTCACCACATCATGGAAATCTCACTGATACCTTGTCTGAAGTTTGATAGCGCACCTGCTGCTAGCTGTCCCCAGGCAACCAAGTCTGCTTCCTGATCATTTTCTCTAGCACAAGTTCGGCAGCATCCACACTCAGCACATCCAGAGTCTCCTGCCCCACACCCACAGAATCTAGTAATAAAATCACATTACTTAGATGAGAAGAAACAAAGCTTAAGGTGCACAATCTGTAAAACCACTCCTTTACTCCACAAACATGGAATATAACAATAAAACAAATGAGTTCTATTTAATAAAAAAAGTAATGGAAGTTCACATGCATAACCAGTACGCTATCAGCCTAATGATATACATCTAGTGACACGGTATGAACACTGATTAGTATTTATATTCTACAAGCTCAAGTATTTTACTCCACATTTGACAATTTAACAAACTAATAGTTATAGTAAAAAACAACACAGGTTTAACACATACACTGTGTACATAAAAGTATGTTACTCCACATTCACAAATATAACAAAGTAATAAGATTACAGAGAAATAACATAGGTTTGAAATGTACACTGTATACACCATGCATCTATCACTCTGCAACGTAATCTACCAATACTGGTATTGGCATTCCACATACTACCAAACATTCTTAGAACAATTAGAGATAGGTAACAATACAGAAGTGATAAAATTCCTATTCTTTGCAGTACAAGTATTCTGTTCTACAATTACAGAATCAAGTTTAAATTCATTTTTTTATATAAAAAGCAATAAAGATAATATTAACATTCTTCAAAACAAAAAAAAAGTTTAGCAAGTAGATACGGTTTTGTTCCAGCCACATCTCATGTATTAAAATATAAAATTATAGTTTTTACAGAAGTAAATCTAAAGCTTGTATTGCACAGGAAAAGACAAACATCACATTAATCTAAAATTTATTGTAATAAAACTGTCAAAATTAAATTTATTAGGCTTATGAAACACAAGTGACACTTTACAAAAAGTCTGTTAATATTTTAAAAACAAATTTAGAAATTTTAATGTTGTAACTTATTTCATTTTAGAGCCAAGATCTCAAAAACTTGCAAATGGAAATTATAATACTGGAAAACACTTTATAATTGCTGAAATAAAAGAACTTAATTTCACTGAAAATGTAAAAGTTAGGAAAAAAAAATGGATATCACAAAATGTCATGTTTATTGGCATCTACTTACGTTCCTGGGTTTCTGTCAGCCCTGCCACTAGCTATACATCCTGACCCATAACCAGTACATTCTCCACACACTGTACACACCATACAGTGGTCTTGTTTCCAGTTATGTTTTCCAGGAGGACACATGATCTCTGGTTCTTCACATTCTAACTCCTCATCCTCACCTTCTTCTTCTGGGGCAGTTGCCATTGCAACAGGCAAGGCCACTGCAATTCCAACACACAATGATATTTCATGTACTGATACAATGAGTAAATAATATCGGTACATTTTCTCTACAGTCAATCTCATCCTCTGTTAACAAATGGTTATTATACAGCCAAGCTACTGTGTCCTATGAACAACTGAAACAAAGTTTAAATTACATCTTTCCCACATTTTATAACCTTAATTAAAATACTCAAATTTGCTGTTGCACCATATGCAGCATACTTTACTAACACTATCAATCATTTCTCACCTACATTTCAATTCCAACTCCCTTACTTCAGTGTTTTCACTTATTTCCATAGTGTTCATGCAATTATCTTTGTACAGGTTTCATTGATTTCCCTTTTGCAAAGTTACTTCTTCTAATGAAGAATTTAACTTTATGAAAAAAAAACAAAAACATTATGGCATAAGATTAAACATTACCCATATTGTGAAATTTTGATCCAAGTTTAATTTTCAATGTTACTGATATATAAAAGTTTTTATAAAAGAAATATGAATACAAATCACTCTACATCTTTGAAAGTGTTCCATGGTATATGTATTGAAAGTTGAAAGCATTTTTTTACACTTAATTTACAATTATATAAACCAAAGAAACTACTTTGTCTAAAACCAGAAGTAACTGAAAAAAAAAGGGTTTGTTAAATTCAAACATCTTCAATAGGCTATCTAAAGAAAATTAAAAAAACAAAAGTCCAACAATAAAAGAGTGCTTCAATTGTAGTAGATTCCATGTGGATATAAACATTAACCCTAAAAATATACTTGTCAAAAGAAAAACTCAGTAAAATATATGATTAAATTGATTTAAAACTAATAAAATAAAATCCAATAAGCATTAAACAGAGAAAAAAACTTAATTTGTTAGTTATAATTAATTAGTCAATTTTAAAGGAATATGAATGAGTGCCCAAAAAGAAGACAATGATTAACATTTCTGAAATAAAGCACCACTTAAATGTAATACACAACAGTTAATTGTGTAAGACAAGGCAAAGAAAAAACAACTGAGTCTATAAACCATATCCAGATTCTGCAATTAAAAAAATCTGTTTGTTTGTTGTTAACTCTCTCAACACGGGCTCGGTCAATTTGATCAACCATGTGACCTCTTTTTACCCAACTAACCCTATTGCCCTGAGTACCCTTTACTATGCATACACAAGGTTTTATTGTCTTACATTCAAAATATTATTATACCACTTTTTGTTTATGTTATACCAATTAGAATAGCAAAATCTCAGCTAATAATCCATATTTGAATAGAATATAAGTTTTAAGTTCTTAATTCTACAAGGCAATATTTTAAAAAATCCTGAAATTCCACTAGTGTGACCCACATGACATTTTCTCTCAGCATGTCATCATCCCTATTTTATCCACCACCTCTCAAAAAAGTAAGAAATTAAATGTAAATTACTCTCTATAAAATCATTAATCCTCAAACAAATCATAATTTTTATAGCCTTCAATTTTGTTTGGTTACAGAGCTATCAAATAGAAAATCAGAACCCTTCTGCCACATCCTCTCTTTCACAATTCGTTGATAGTTCTCTCTTAAGTATCATTGTATGTTACCCATAACCAATAAAAAGTCAAGGTTTTCATCTATCAAATAACGCATTGTATAACTTTGTGTTTGGAACAGAATATTGCCAACTTCACTCACAGTGCAAGATTTGTTCCCGTGGGAAAGTTAACGACTAGCTTGGATGAATTTGTATTGGCTCTTGTCATATAGTTAGAAAGCTAGGAAAATTTTGAGAGTAAGTAAGTGAATTTGTCTACTTTTTGCATGTTATTAGTCTATATTCTTTGGTG